AATAATAATAATAATAATAATAATAATAATAATAATAATAATAATAATAATGTTTTTTTTTTTATTAAGACCTTGAACGTTTAGATCTGTCAGTTTGACTGACAGGTTGAAAACCTTCACCTTATTTGAACTTCCAGCCTCAGTCCTGCAGAAATGCATGAAGTGGATGAACCCAGAACAATCAGGGCGGAAGTGGGCCTGTTCTGGGCCTGCATGGGCTGCAGCACTTCAGCTCAAGTGGGTCTATAGAACCCCACTGCAAGTGACGTCAGGATAACAGTGGACCAGTTTTTTGTTTTTTTTAATACCAGTGGGGAAAAAAGTTTTTGTTATAGTGAGAGCCTTTGGAAGTAAGAGGGTTTTCACCTTAAACCTTGATAAGCTACAGCTGGGAGCCCACGCCTCGTCGCGTGGGTTGAAATAAAAGTAACAGATGAAAGAATCTGGAAAACTGGCCGAGGCTGAGCCATGAAGGGGTTTTGGGGGGGTGGGGGGGTGGCGAGCTGATGCACAGAAATAAGAGCTCCATATGAGAGCAGCGTGTCCTCACAGAACCCCAAAGAAAGTAAGTTTTCTTTCAGCAGCTCACGTTTCACAATTTACATTTTACGTAACATTTTTATTTTTATTTTTATTTAAATAAATCCCGTGCCAGCCTCCAGGACGCATGCAGCTCCTCTTTTTTTTTTTTTTTTTTGAAGATTATTAATTTATTTATGGGCTTTAATGAGAGAGGTTTTATTTACAGAGATGGTTTACATTCGGCTCTAAGGTATAAAACAGCTCTGTTGTTCTCCCAAATGGCACTAAAAGAAAGATAATAATAATTAAAAAAAGGATAATTATAAAGACCTGGCCCTTCTTTTCCTTTCTGCTACTTGTTGCTTTAATAAAAGAAACTTTTCCTCATGCAGATGATTAAAAATGCTTGATAAAAAGCTTTGATCAGTGAGAGATATTGATAAATGCGCATTGTTTGAGTTAAAAAGTCAGGTCATTGTGGGTTTTCGTGCAACTTTCTGTGTTTTCAAGTGTTGCATTTTCATCCATAAAGCAAGTTTTGAGCATAATTGGCCCGGACACGCTCAGACCAGCCTCCATTGTTCTTGCAAAGCAGGAGAAGTTGTTTTGGCAAGAGCGCAGCGCAAAAAGACGCTGCAGACTTTGTTGCGCTCATGTCCAAATCTAATCACTTGACTTCTGGACTGCATGATTAGTAAACATAAACCTGTACATAAAAAAAACCCCAACTATATCTGCAGAAGGGATCCTAATGAGAAGGCAGCAGTATGAAGGAGTACCGCGGCACATTTCAAAGCGTTTTCTGTGCCATATTTGAAAGACGGAGTCGTGCCGTGAACTCCTGCGCGTCCCTTTTAAAACAAACCCAGCCGCCTGTCAATCACGCCGCATTCCAACCAATCCCAAAGCCCCCTTTTTAAAAAGCAGGTTTGCCTGCTGTGCTTTTATATTGCACCATGGCCTGCTCCGGAGCATTTTTTACTACCACGGTTATTGCCACAAATCAAGAGGGCAAAGTGAACGGCATGGGACTCACACCAACTTTAACGAAACTGACTCTGGTTCCTCCTTCTGCGATGTTCCCGGCCGAGAATTTCACGTGCAGATGATACACAGCAAGGGAAATGGGAAGAGAATTTTCTCTGAACGCTGAGCTGGTTGATTTCGCAAACTCATAGCCAAAGAAAACGAAAACGCACAACAAAACATGACAAGCCTTTCGAGCTTTAGCTGCCCTCTCTCTTGCGTCAACCCCGGGGAGAGCAATACTGAACCCAGCGTGGTGCTGCCACCTTTGGCAGGAGAGCACATGGGACACCCCACTGGCAGTTCCTTAAAACTCTGCCCCTCGCACAATTTGCGAGACTACCCCGAGCCGAGGTCCAGTGCATATGCTGACCATTCAGTTCCCACTTTTCCAGACTCTGGATACCCCAGCCACCGCTTAGAGCACAGCCCCAGGGGCATTATCTTCGGAGCCAATCTCTCTGGAGCCGGCATGCCACCCGTCACTGATCAACTGGCATCAAGAGCCAACCAACATGGCGGGATTGGAAGGTACCGTGACTTTAGGGACAACAGGAGCCATGCGTTTTTCACAAGCTACCAGGAGCAGGCCCACCCCTCCTCCGACGCGTCCCGAGACCTCGGGAGCCAAATGATGCTGAGTCTACCTGGCGACCTCCTCACCCGGACTCACTCCTATGGCCAAAGCATCAGCCCCAAGGGGAGCAGCCAGCAGCTCGTCTCCCAGTTCCTGGGGCTCTACAAGCCCCTGAACATGATCCAGCGCGGGGGAGCCGACGCGTTCCTCAGGTGCGCCAAGCAGGTGAAGCACGAGCTGGTGTGCAAGTGGAGTGAGGGGCCAGGGAAGGTGTCGTGCTCCAGAGCCTTCGGGACCATGTACGAGCTGGTCACGCATGTGACGGTGGAGCACGTCGGCGGACCGGAGCACTCCGAGTACGTGTGCCACTGGGAGAGCTGCGCGCGGGACAGGAAGCCTTTCAAAGCCAAATACAAGCTGGTGAACCACGTCCGCGTGCACACCGGGGAGAAGCCCTTTCCCTGCCCCTTCCACGGCTGCGAGAAAGTTTTTGCACGATCAGAGAATCTAAAGATTCACAAGAGGACTCACACAGGTCAGTTCACAACAACAACACTAATAATAATAATAATAATAATAACAACAACAACAATAATAATAATTATAATAACACTAATAATAATAATAATAATAGTAATAAGAATAATGATAATAATATTTTGTGACTATTTTTTGTTTTGCTTCTTTCTGTGTAGTGTTATTATTATTATTATTATATTATTATTATTATTATTATTATTATTATTGAAGGTTTGAGGTGTTTTTCGTCTCGTTTTCGTTGTTAAAAAGATTAAAAACCATGTGTATAGTACACCCACCCACCCCCACACGACCCCCCACCCCCACGCAGGAGCCACACACGAGACGCACTGAGACAGCTGCAGACGCGTGCGCGCAGTCAGCAGGCCTGCTGCTCTGCTCTGCCTCCCTCTCTTCATTCAGAGAAATTATTAAATAAATCCCGGGACACCGGAGAGTCGTGACGTAGCCGTTACGCTGCCTCGCAGGGATCCATCCTCTCCTGCACGCGGCTCACGGGGAGCACACGCGCATGCACACACTCTCTGGAGTGGTCGTGATGTGGATGGGAAACAATAATAATTATTATAAGAATAAAAAGTGAAACAAAACGCTTCACAACGAGATTATTTAAATAACCCCCCCCCCCCCCATCTTCTTTGATGAGCTGTGTGATGTAAAATGCATTTTATTTTCCAGCCTTGCAGGAAATGCTTTTTATTTTGCAGCGATTTACAGCAGCTGTGTTTTATTCTTATTTTCACACACGTCAGGGGGATGAATTTGATGCAGCTTAATTACAGTGAAACACAGATCAGAATGAATGGATTACTCTCTCTTACACACACACACACATACACACACACACACACACACACACACACACACACACACACACACACACA